GCTTCTCCAGACGATCTCCTGATAAGGTTGCTGAATCAGATCACCGCACCACCCAGTAGCCTGTCCCCCGCCACCATACCAAAGCTCCACAAGGAAGCACTCCTGCTCCAGGGGACCTCATGGGGTTAGAGCACCGTCTTAGAGCACCCAGAACCCAGCAGTTCTGCACCCTCTTGCTACCCACAGGGCTGGGAGCCCTTGGACCCAGTCTAAAACTTAAGTACTCACTGTTTCCCTTCCAGACCTGGATACCTGTTATCTCACTTATCCAAAACACTGAACCATGATTCTGAACTGTAGGCAAGAACCCCAAGGCGGCTCTAGGAGGGAGGTGATGCGTGCATCTTTGGGGGATGTGCTTTTAGTTCCATGGAGTGTGACCTTTACCTCCTGAGCCAGGCTGGGGACCCTGGTTCAGTCCATCACTCACCAGGGAAGAACTCGACTCCTCATGCATTGGACTCAGCTAGGCCCGGCCGGCATTCCCTAGGCCAATGCCGGGGGTACTTGCAGGGAGGAAGCTTATGACAGCAGGACAAGGAGATCCAGCATGTGTCACAGCTGATCTACCTGTGTTGGATGCCTCCCACACCCTCTCCCAGTGCTGCTCAGGTCTCTCACTGGACACGCTCCAGAGGACACGACTCTCAACCCCAAATGAACAAGGTGTTACCTCTAACACATCCTTGCTCCCTACCACAACTCTCCTGGGTTTCCAGGTCCAGCTCCAGTGTACCCACAGAGTGTCTCCTAGACATCTACCCACAGGATACACTTCTCCTTCAACTCCTTACGGCACCCACCACCCACCCCTTCACCCACCTGCACCTCCAGGAACAGTAAAGAGGGCTTGTACTGACTTCTGCATCATCGCTTTCATTTCATTGTGTACATAAATGTGAGCTCTGAACAGCAAACCTGTTTTATAATATTGTCTGTATCATTTCAATTTCACAGCACAAGGCGCCTTGCTCAAATCGCTGAAACACTGAAAGACTGCAAAGAGTTCTAACCCAGGATCCAGACCTCAGCGTGAGGTTCACCTTTGCGCATCTCTGACTTGCAACCCTGAATAAGCTAAGTACCACGGGCCTCATAATAAACAGAGAAAAACAAGGCTTTGCCCCACCAAACTCCCTCATAACGGGAAGAACAAACAAAGGCTTTTGCAAGATGTAAGAATGGATGCAAAAGGAAAGGAGTTACTACTGATCTATTTCTTTTCATTGGAGGAGAGGAGGTTATATGCAGATATAAAATACTCTCAGTGGAAAACAAATGACAAAAAAATCTAGGTATTTCAAATACAAGTTTAGACTTCAAACAAAGAGATCCAAAATAGGTTGGAAAAGATTTTGAAGATCTCGTTTTGTTTCACTGTGAGTCCAACACTGTTGGGCTCTAGTTTGGACTGATCTTCCTCAATTTCTATTTTAAGTCTTTGCGTTTGATTTACACATACATACACGTTATTTAGAATTCCAAACCCAGCCGGCTGCACTGTGGGCTCCAACGCCTGTATCCCCAGCACTTTGGGGGCCGAGGGCGCCGGGCGGATGCACCGAGGTCAGCGAGTTCGAGACATCCTGGCTAACACAGTGACAACCCCCGTCCACTAAAAAAAAACCCAAAAAAAAAGTAGCTGGCGAGGCGTGGTGGACGCCTGTAGTCCCAGCTACTCGGCCGGCGCGCCGGCGCGAGCCGCGGCTGAGGCAGAAGAATGGTGTACAAAACCCCGGAGGTCGGAGCTTGCAGTGAGCTGAGGATCTGGCCACTGCCAGCTCCAGCCTGGGGCGACAGAGCGAGACTCCGTCTCAAAAAAAAAAAGAAATTCCCAAACCTATAATGTGCTGTAGCTGGCAACAAGACATGTTTCTGTCCTCCCTAGTTAGAGGCCAGGAGTCTGGCAACATCTTGGCCATGTGGGTGTCTACAACAGCCTCCCAGTGCGGGGACCACGCTCTAAAGGCGTCAGCACCCGGAGATGACTTGACCTATCCAGTGACCGCGACGTGGTCCACACACCTCTCTGGCCATTACGGCGAAAGGACTACTAACACTGAGAAGGTGCATCCTTCTTATTTTCGGTGAGGCGGCCTCATACTGACTTCGGCGAACATCGGCTGTTGTCTATTGCAAGGAAGGGTATTCACCTGGTGGATGCGCAATGGACCCCACTGGAGGCTGGAGCCCTGACAGAAGCCCTGAGCCCCACCCAGGATGTACTCCTTGCCTTCTTATAGAGTCTGATTTCTAAGCAACCTGCAAAATGAGTTTTTAATCACCATTTTATAGATGGAGATACTGATTCAGAAAGGGAAAATGCTCAAGGCCACAAGGTAGTGAACTCCCAAACTAGACAAACCTCAGGTCTGCCCAATTCCTCTTCCTGTGTTTTCTTCATACCATCTCACTATGAACTTCCCCGCCTGCCTCCCTGGGGCACTCCTCTCACCCCTGCCCCTTCCCTTCTTTCTCTGTCTTAGGAGTGCCAGCTTCTCGCAGGGCTCCAGGGCCCCATTCCCCATGAGGAGAAGCACAGCCGTGCAAAATCTTGCCCAGCACTGTCAATACAGTGT